ATATAATATATATAAATTATTCATTGTTGGATATATAGATTTTCTTTATACATAGGGTATCATTTTTATTTTCTTTTTTTAATATAAATTAATTGTTAATCTAATAATCAAATCTACATGAATTATTATAAAATAAAGAAAAGCACTTAACAATTCTTTTTTTTATTTATTAACATAAGTCTTTACTAACTCTTTCTTCTTCAATTGCTTAACTTGCAAAATTTTATTTTATGGTTAATAAGTAAAATTTATAAGTAAAAGGACTAAAAAGTTAATAATAATATAATATGAATAAAATAAGAAACATAACATCTTCTTGCAGAAACAAAAAAACATAATATTTTCATATGACTTAATTTCTATCAAATTCATACCTTTCTTGTTTAATTCAATGTATCAATCAATACTTTTTATTACTTTAATTGACTATAATTGCATGAGTGAAATTGTCTCCTTAAAAAAAAAAATCATCCATTAATAGTCTACAAAGAAAACAATGCATAAATTTTAAACAAATAAATTTACCAAATTCTTGTAAAAGAACAACATCATATGTTTTATAAAAAATTCATAAAAAGAGTACTAATCCTTATTTCATACAACAATAGATATATTTTGGACAAGAGGAAAAAAATCACAAGAAAATAAAAACATAATATTATATTTAGTTACAATATGAAACAAGAAAAAATAAAAAAGAAGAAAATATTTGGAACTCACCATATTAGTAAAAAGAAATTATAGTGATGAAGATGAGAATATGATATATTGATATAGAGAAAGTGGCTAATGATTAGAGGTGGGGAGGAAGATGGAAGGATAAGAGGATGGAAGAGCATAGTAAAAAATCATGGAAAAAAGATGTCATCAAAGATCATGGGAGGGTATGCATTTATACATTTAAATATTAACTGTTCATTATCTTCATTTAGGAGTTTTTAAATATTTAAACTTTTGGTTTTTTATATTAAGATAACATTACTTCATCTATCACATTTATTCATCAATTATTTTTATCATTTTCAATTTTCAATTTTTTACCTATCTATCACTTTTATTATCTTTTATAATTTTCATTTATTTTTGTCATTTATTTGTAATTTATAATTTTCATATATTTTGCATATTTTATTTCAACATTTTACATTAATATAATATTATATTTTACATAAATGCATACACTATTTATTGAAATTGGGTATAGATTTTGTATATGAATATTTTGTGTACCCTATAATAATCATTTAAATTGTTTTGCATTGACAAATTATTTGGCTATATATGGTGTCACGCCCCAACCCATGGGTTTAGGCATGACAAATGCCACACATCTATAGAATAACCCCATAAATGTGTAAAGCCATCTACTTGCATATCAATACAATCTTCCATTAAGTTTTAATGTAGCTTCGCAGCTTTAAAATAAACAATTCTCTTAACAAATCTTAATAGTCTCCAAATAACAAGATCAAATCTCTTAACCAAAAACATAAAGTGATTAACATCTTATTTCATAAAACCAAATAAGCTTCCAATTGAGCTATTGCTAAATTTTTGCCAATTTATCCTAGCGACCTCTTAATCTCCATGCAAATCCCAATGCTCACACTTCTTCACCTAAAATGAGATGAAATTTGAAAATGTGAGTTTAAAAATTTCATAAGTAATATACCCATCCATCACGACTAAGCATAAAAATTTAAAATTGAATTTTTATTGAAAATGAAACGATAAAAGTACACTTCTTTCCTCAAAACCAGAATATTTCATTTTTTGTCCCTTATGGCTGTGTAACAATCCACAATCAACAATGCTCAACCATCAATCCACAATACACAACTCACAGTCCACAATACATAATTCACAATTCACAATCCGTAGATCCTAGGTCTATCACAATCCGTAGATCCTAGGTCTATCACAATCCGTAGATCCTAGTTCTATCACAATACCATCAACTCAACCCTCACGAGGGTTGATCATATAGCTAGGACAAACAAAAGAAGTCGTTCCAAAAATAACCATTTCAATAATATTGGAGAAAAACAAATTTAAATTAGCAACCTCCACATGGTCACAATCTCATTTCAAACTTAAGTAAAAAAATTGTTATACTTGGTCCACAATTCATCTCATTCCATCATTAAAACATTTTAATAAAAATCATTCTCCAAGAAATAATTAAATAAATAAACAAATAGATAAATAAATCAAAACTGAACAAAACCTATTTAAATCTACCAATTTACTTTAAAAACACTAGAGGGTATAGCTACTTACCTCAATAATTATCTCTTAAAATGCAATTCCACACAACTACTTGAAACCTAAATGAACATAAAGTATACATAATTCAATCACCAAGTAAAATTTATCCTTTGCTTATCAAGCATTTACATGATAAAATTTCATAACCATGCCACTGTCGTCCCTTTCTCAAACTTAACCATTCCAACACACACTATTAGAAACTAACAACCTAAATAAATAATTTCCCCCTTAAAAATTCCTCACTCCACCACCCAAATTCACAATCTTATTGTCAATACCAAAATCCATTTGCTACAGTAAAATCAATTTCACCAACCATGCTTCTGCCCGAACTCTTCATTCCAAATTTCCAAAATATTTCATCATCCATGAATAATAAATTACCTCTAGTTATACTTGAGACCAACAGCCTCTACAGTGTCTTCTCCACTGGTGAGAATATGTGAGACAAAGAGGGCCTATTAACCAAATATTGAGGAAAGCTTTTAAATGCCACCCCACAATTCTTTTAATCATCTAAATTTAAGTTTAATAAGGCAAATTATCTTAGATTGGCTCTAGTATGGCCAGATCCCTAAAGCTTTGTCCCCCTGCAGGCGAGAGGGAGGAGACGATCCTGTTTCCCCAGAAAGAAAGAACAAAAAATGAAACTGCCAAACAATCTATTTTGGTTTATTTTCAAAAAGGAAATATTACCACTTAGCTAGTCCTTGAGGAGTTTTTACAACTTAGTCCTCAAACTCCTCACCTCATTATAATTAAACCCCATCTTTAATTTTATCACATATACACCCTTTAAGAGCTTAAATAATGTATTTAAATCTTAAGTAATAAATCCTTGGGTATTCCATATGGTTTTGCTTATTCATCTACAAAAGAATTAATTTTTTCAGCTACGTATATTATATATTATTATCTTTTCAATATTAATAATTAATAACTATCATACTATAATATTCATTTAAATTATCTTCCGTTGAGAAATTAATTACTTCGGTCTTGCCTCTTCATCTACCAAATGATTAATATTTCTAGTTACTTATATTATATATAACTTTAATTATTATTACTTATATATATAAATGCATACCCCATTTAATGCATAGGGTAGCATTATATATATATATATATAAAGATTCATGGAGTCTATTAATAAATCAACTGTGTTTAGAATGATATTTAATTTTTATTCTCTTCATTTTCTTTTTGGGCCAATTTATACTTTTGATCATTTCCACTAGATTTTATTTGTTCCTCAAAGTTTCTAACAATTTTTTTCTTATAATTTATTTGATCTATTATCAAGTCACTCTATTTTTAAAGGTAAATTGTTAATTTTTACTATTGATTGTTTCACTAAATTTTATTTTGTTTTTTAAAATTCCTAATAATTCTTTTTTCTTAGTGGTTAATTGTTTGAGGATATAAATTATTGTCTTCTTAGTATTCAAATTTTAGTTTTTGTTATAATTTAAAGCTCTAATAATGTTATTTTTATCTATTTTTTTTATTCATATTTCATTTTTTGCTTTCTACTTTGAGAGTCCTAGGCTTTGTTTACTAAAGTTTCATGCAAACCTTTTTCTCATAACACTTTGTTTGAAAAAGTAAGTGTTGACGTGTCAAAATGGATGGAGTCGCCATCTATCCAAATGAGGTGGGATAGATCACCAA